GGGTGTCCCCTGGGTGTCCTGAGGTCCCCACTTCACAGGGTGGCACCGGCAGGTGGCACCTGGAGGGGGTTTGGTGGCACCTGGGTGGCTTTGAGTCCCCTCCCGGTGTCCCCAACTTGTCCCAGTGTCACCTGCAGTGTCCCCAACTGTCCCAGTGTCACCTCCCGGTGTCCCCAACGTGTCCCAGTGTCACCTCCAGTGTCCCCAACTGTCCCAGTGTCACCTCCCGTGTCCCCAGCCTGTCCCAGTGTCACCTCCCGGTGTCCCCAACGTGTCCCAGTGTCACCTCCCAGTGTCCCCAACGTGTCCCAGTGTCACCTCCCAGTGTCCCCAACTGTCCCAGTGTCACCTCCCGGTGTCCCCAACTGTCCCAGTGTCACCTCCCGGTGTCCCCAACGTGTCCCAGTGTCACCTCCCAGTGTCCCCAACCTGTCCCAGTGTCACCTCCCAGTGTCCCCAGCCTGTCCCAGTGTCACCTCCAGTGTCCCCAGCCTGTCCCAGTGTCACCTCCCGGTGTCCCCAACTGTCCCAGTGTCACCTCCCGGTGTCCCCAACTGTCCCAGTGTCACCTGCAGTGTCCCCAACTGTCCCAGTGTCACCTGCAGTGTCCCCAACGTGTCCCAGTGTCACCTCCCAGTGTCCCCAGCCTGTCCCAGTGTCACCTCCCGGTGTCCCCAACTGTCCCAGTGTCACCTCCCAGTGTCCCCAACGTGTCCCAGTGTCACCTCCTGGTGTCCCCAGCCTGTCCCAGTGTCACCTCCCAGTGTCCCCAGCCTGTCCCAGTGTCACCTCCCGGTGTCCCCAACCTGTCCCAGTGTCACCTCCAGTGTCCCCAACTGTCCCAGTGTCACCTCCCAGTGTCCCCAACCTGTCCCAGTGTCACCTCCAGTGTCCCCAACGTGTCCCAGTGTCACCTCCCAGTGTCCCCAGCCTGTCCCAGTGTCACCTCCCGGTGTCCCCAACGTGTCCCAGTGTCACCTCCAGTGTCCCCAGCTGTCCCAGTGTCACCTCCCGGTGTCCCCAGCCTGTCCCAGTGTCACCTCCCGGTGTCCCCAACGTGTCCCCGTGTCACCTCCCGGTGTCCCCAACCTGTCCCCGTGTCACCTCCCGGTGTCCTGCAGGGCTTGGTGGGACAGGGTGACACTCAGAGGTGGCACCTGCGGGGGGGATTTGGTGGCACCTGGTGTGTCCCCAGCCCTGTCCCCAACGTCCCTGCAGTGTCCCCAATGTCCCCAGGGCTGTCCCCTGACTGTCCCCAATGTCCCCAGGTGTCCCCAGGGCTGTCCCCTGAGTGTCCCCGATGTCCCCAAGTGTCCTCAGTGTCCCCAGGGTTGTCCCCACGTGTTCCCAAGATGTCCCCGATGTCCCCAGGGCTGTCCCTGTGCATCCCCAGTGAATCCTTGATGTCCCCAATGTCCCCAAGTGTCCCCAATGTCCCCAGGGCTCTCCCCGTGTGTCCCTGGTGAATCCCTGATGTCCCCAGTGGTGTCCCCAAGATGTCCCCGATGTCCCCACGGCTGTCCCCTGAGTGTCCCCAATGTCCCCAAGTGTCCCCAGTGTCCCCAGCGCTGACCCCTGAGTGTCCCTGATGTCCCCAAGTGTCCCCAATGTCCCCAGGGCTGTCCCTGTGCATCCCCGGTGAATCCCTGATGTCCCCAATGTCCCCAGCGGTGTCCTCTGAGTGTCCCTGATGTCCCCAGGGCTGTCCCTGTGTGTCTCCAATGTCCCCACGATGTCCCCAAGTGTCCCCAGGGCTCTCCCCGTGTGTCCCTGGTGAATCCCTGATGTCCCCAGTGGTGTCCCCAAGATGTCCCCGATGTCCCCAGGGCTGTCCCCTGAGTGTCCCCAATGTCCCCAAGTGTTCCCAGTGTCCCCAGNGCACTTTGGGGGTGTTGGTGCCATCAGATGGGGTTTGGTGGCACTAAGAAAGAGTTTGGTGGGATCTGGACAGGGTTTGGTGGCACTTTGAGGGGCTTTGGTGGCACCTGGAGGGGGTTTGGTGACATCAGAGGGGTTTGGTGACACTTTGAGGGCGTTTGGTGACATTAGAGGAGTTTGGTGGCACCTGGAGGGAGTTTGGTGACATTAGAGGGGGTTTGGTGACACTTAGAGGGGGTTTGGTGACATTAGAGGGGGTCTTGGTGGCACCTGGAGGGGGTTTGGTGGCATCTAGACGGGGTTTGGTGGCACTTTGAGGGGGTTTGGTGGCATTAGAGGGGGTTTGGTGGCACCTGGAGGGGGTTTGGTGGCACTTTGGGGAGGTTGGTGGCATCTGGAGGAGGTTTGGTGACATCTAGACAGGGTTTGGTGGCACTTAGAGAGGATTTGGTGACACCTTGAGGGGGTTTGGGGACATTAGAGGGGGTTTGGTGGCAGCTGGAGGGGGTTTGGTGACACCTGGAGGGAGTTTGGTGACACTTTGGGAGGGTTGGTGGCATCTGGAGGAGGTTCGGTGGCATCTAGACGGGGTTTGGTGGCATCTGGAAGTGGTTTGGTGGCACTTTGGGCGGGTTGGTGGCACTTAAGGGAGGATGTGGTGGCACTTAGGGTTTGGTGACACTTTGGGGAGGTTGGTGGCATCTGGAGGGGGTGTGGTGGCACTTAGGGAGGATTTGGTGGCACTTTGAGGAGGTTTGGTGACATTAGAGGGGGCTTGGTGGCATCTAGACAGGGTTTGGTGACACTTTGGGAGGGTTTGGTGGCACCTGGAGGGGGCTTGGTGACATTAGAGGGGTTTGGTGGCATCTAGACAGGGTTTGGTGACATTAGAGGGGGTGTGGTGACATCTAGACAGGATTTGGTGGCACTTAGGCGGGGTTTGGTGACATCAGAGGAGCCTTGGTGACATCAGAGGGAGTTTGGTGACACCTGGACAGTCTTTGGTGGCACCTCTGTCCCCTTGGGTCACCTCCAGCTGTCCCACGGGACAGTGACACCTCGGGGTGGCACCTGGGTGGCATTTGGTGGCACTTTGAGAGGGTTTGGTGACATCAGAGGAGGTTTGGTGGCATTGGGGGGGGTTTGGTGGCACCTGGGTGGCATTTGGTGGCACTTTGAGAGGGTTTGGTGGCCCCTCCGTGCCCCTGTGTCCCCTGGTGCTGTCGCCGCTGTCACTGAGGTGTCCCCGATGTCCCCAATGTCCCCAGAATGGCATTGTCCCCATCGTGGAGCCCGAGATCCTCCCGGATGGTGACCACGACCTCAAGACGTGCCAGTACGTCACCGAGAAGGTGAGTGCCACCTGTCCTGTCCCCAGGTGTCCCCAAGTGTCCCCAGAGTGTCCCCTGGGTGTCCCCTGGGTGTCCCCTGGGTGTCCTGAGGTCCCCACTTCACAGGGTGGCACCGGCAGGTGGCACCTGGAGGGGGTTTGGTGGCACCTGGGTGGCTTTGAGTCCCCTCCCGGTGTCCCCAACTTGTCCCAGTGTCACCTGCAGTGTCCCCAACTGTCCCAGTGTCACCTCCCGGTGTCCCCAACGTGTCCCAGTGTCACCTCCAGTGTCCCCAACTGTCCCAGTGTCACCTCCCGTGTCCCCAGCCTGTCCCAGTGTCACCTCCCGGTGTCCCCAACGTGTCCCAGTGTCACCTCCCAGTGTCCCCAACGTGTCCCAGTGTCACCTCCCAGTGTCCCCAACTGTCCCAGTGTCACCTCCCGGTGTCCCCAACTGTCCCAGTGTCACCTCCCGGTGTCCCCAACGTGTCCCAGTGTCACCTCCCAGTGTCCCCAACCTGTCCCAGTGTCACCTCCCAGTGTCCCCAGCCTGTCCCAGTGTCACCTCCAGTGTCCCCAGCCTGTCCCAGTGTCACCTCCCGGTGTCCCCAACTGTCCCAGTGTCACCTCCCGGTGTCCCCAACTGTCCCAGTGTCACCTGCAGTGTCCCCAACTGTCCCAGTGTCACCTGCAGTGTCCCCAACGTGTCCCAGTG